GTCAGTCTTCCTGCTCCTCTGATGCTGCTTGGCCTGCTGTGTTCATCCAGCTCTACACCTTGTTATCTCTTATAATCGATAATGACAATCTAGTTTAGCGATGTAGTTTGAGGAATAAGCATCAATTCAGGACACTGGGGAATAACAGGGGAATAGTGCCATGGGAACTTTTACATCTATCTTTGCGAAGAGCAGACTGGGCCTCACTTTAACACCTCATCTGAAAGGTGGCACTTGCAATAGGGCAGCACTCCCTCAGTCCTATACTGGAGCATCAGCTTAAACTTTGCACTCAAGTCCTGAAGTGAGACTTGCTGTTAATAGAAATGCAGGTCCTTTTTTTAGTATTATTCCCTAACAGAGACCAGAGTAAAGGGAAATAAGGGAGAGGGCGTGAGAGAAATAACTTTGTCCACTCTGGAGGCTTCGTGATGTGACCACCTGTTAGCACACAAAACAGGCTTTCCTATCAACCACAAGACTTTATTGTAATTAATATGATGTTGAAATTAAATGAATAAAAAGCATAATATTATTGTCATTAACCTGAATGGAGCTTGTTCCCTTCCAACCAATCTAACGTCCCTTAGGGAGGGAAATCTGCCATCCCCGCCTAGTCTGACCTACATGTGACTCCAGGCACTCAGGAAAGCATTGACTCTTAACTGCCCTCCGAAATGGCTGAGGAAGTCCCTCAGTTCAATGGCAGCTGGAGATGGGCAATAAATGCTGGCCAGCTAGCTGTGCCCACGCTCATGAGGAAATAATTTAAAAGAAACACACAATTGACAGATTTTGGCAAGTGGTGACAATACAGTTTCTGTCCGTGTGCGCGCGCGCATGTGTGGTCAGATTAAGTTTGTGTCGCAAAGATTGACGAGAAAAGGGTCAGAAAATTGGATTCCACTGGATTTTATAGGCCCCTTCCCTAGATAGAGGTAAATGCATACATTTTACTACAGAAACACATGCACACACTATCTCTCCCACTCTGTAGGGAGAACTAGACAGGACAGGGCAAGTGAGGGGTTCAGGGTATGTGTGTTAAGAATAAACAGAGAAGCTCATACCTGTGGCATGACCGAACCTAAGTTGGTGCCTCAAAACAGGGACAAAATGTGGCAGGCACTCAAAATCAGTTGGCACGAAAACACTTTCTACGGCAAAACGAGTTGGTCAAAACTCCCCAAGGACAGGAGGAGTTCGGCGATCACGGATGATTAGAAAGAAAATTATTTACGGCTCAAGTCTGTTCCATCTGGCAGCATTTGATTTCTTCAATGCCGGCCCTATGAAGGAGGGGGAAAGAGAGAGAGAGAGGTTGGAAAACTCTATTTTAAAAGAAATATATGGTTTAACATGCACTACTTCATGAGAAAGGTTCAGGTCGTCAACACAAACAAACAAACAAAGCCGCCAAAGCTACAGACTGCAACCTGGCACAGTTAAAGCAGGATCAAATCAAATCACATGAACGCAGAATCCCCTTCAAAGCTCTCTATCACAAAGAGGGCAGTGTCCGATTAAGCACCTATTTCAGCGAATATGAGAAACTGTACAGCCTCCTGTCCCAAAATGGCACCTTGCAAAAACAGACAGCCTGTCACAGGTTAAAGCCTATTTATCAATTCATAACATCCACTTCTAAAATTGGAAATGTAAAGCTAATAATCAAAAGATTTGACAGACCATGATAAACAGCTTTGTAGGAGAATCTTACTTGGCTACAAGTTTTTGACTGCAAACTTTTATTTTGAAACATAAAATGAAAGGAACATTGGGCAAACATCAACATTCTCTTTTATTGCCTTGCTAGCCTGCTGTAGTACTTGGGCTTGTACATCTCAGGGTCATCAGTAAGTTGTGAACAGTCAGAATGAGACACAACCTGGGTGAAGGGATCTCACTGCAGTACAGGGTAAGTGTGTCTCAGTTTAAAGGGTTAGTATAGTTAAAGAGTCATAGAGTCATACAGTATGGAAACAACCCTTCAGTCCAACTGATCCGTGCCGACCATAATCCCAAACTAAGCTAGTCCCACTTGCCTGCGCTTGGCCCATATCCCTCCTAACATTTCTTATTCATGTACTTATCTAAACGTATATTAAATGTTGCACTGTAACTCTACCCATGTCCACCACTTCCTTTGGAAGGTCATTCAGCACACGAACCACTGCGTAAAAAGTTGCCCCTCATGTCTTTTTTAAAATCTTTCTCCTTGCACCTTAAAAATATGCCCCCTAGTCCTGAAATCCCCCACCCTAGGAAAAACACACTGCCATTCACCTCATCTATACCCCTCATGATTCTGTAAACCTCTATAAGGTCATCCCTCAACCTCCTACGCTCCAGTGAGAAAAAGTCCCAGCCTTTCTTTATAACTCAAACCCTCCATTCCCAGCAACATCATGGCAAATCTGTTCTGAATCCTTTCCAGCTTCCAATAACAGGGAGACCAGAATTGGACACAGTATTCCAGAAGAGGCCTCGCCAAGTCCTGTACAACCTCAACATGACTTCCCAACTCCTACACTCAAGGGTCTGAGCGACGAAGGCGCGTGTGCTAAATGCTTTCTTAACCACCCTGTGTATATGTGATGCAAACTTCAAAGCATAATGTACCTGAACCCCTAGGTCTCTCTGTTCCACAACGCTGCCCAAGTCCCTTCATTTAATTATATAAGTTAGTTGATTATAATAATTCTACAAGTTAGTTCATCTTCTGTTTAGTACAGGGAGTTCAGATCAGACCACAAGTGGAGGCCATTTGTTCAAAAGTTATAACGGTAATTTTTAGGAAGCTAATTAAAATTTAACTTATAAACTAACAGCCAATAGAGGGTTAGTCATATCAGTTGGTGGGGTTGTGTGTTCTACCTGCGAGATGCGATCAATCATGGAAGCTGAGAGCATCTCTGAGAACGACGTCTGCACGAAGTGTAGCCAGCTTCAGCTGCTCATTGAACAAATGAATCAGTTTGAGTGGCAGTTAGAGACACTAAGGAGCACACAGATGGTGGAGTGTGTCACAGAAAGAAGGTCACACCCAAGGTACTGGAAGGTAGATGGGTGGTCGCTAGATGGGAAAGGCAGTCAGCGCACGAGTCCCCTACAGTTGTCCCCGTCAAATAAATATTCCATGGATGAGGAGGATGGCCCATCAGGTGGCAGTAGCAACACTACAGCTGGCCATGCTGTACAGAGGGGCAGACAAAGCACAGAGCAATTGTAATTGGAAATTCAATAGTCAGGGGCACAGATATGCACTTCTGTAGCAGTGAGACACACTCCAGCATGGTATATTGCCTTCCTGGTACCAGGGTCATGGCTGTCTCTGAGCAGGCACAGGGCATCCTGAAACAGGAGGGTAAACGGATAGAAGTCATTGTCCATATTGGCATGGGTAGGAAGAATGACAAGGTCCTGCAATGATAATTCATGGAGTTAGGCAAAGCAGGACCTCTGGGGTAGTAGTGTCAGGATTACTCTCCATGCCATGTGCCACTGAGGCTAGGAACAGAGACAGAGTACAACTGAACATGTGACTAAAGAGGTGGTGTAGCTGGGAGGGCTTCAGACACGTGGATCATTGGGATGTCTTCCAGGGAAGGTGGGACCTGTACAAGATGGACGGGTTGCACCTAAACAGGAG